AACTAAGGGGCCAAGCCCAGCTCCTGAAAAACAACCCCACACCATAATCCCCCCTCCACCAAACTTTACACTTGGCACAATGCAGTCAGACAAGTACCGTTCTCCTGACAACCGCCAAACCCAGACCCGTCCATCAGATTGCCAGATGGAGAAGCGCGATTCGTCACTCCAGAGAACGCGTCTCCACTGCTCTAGAGTCCAGTGGCGGCGTGCTTTACACCACCGCATCCGACGCTTTGCATTGCACTTGGTGATGTATGGCTTGGATGCAGCTGCTCGCCCATGGAAACCCATTCCATGAAGCTCTCTGCGCACTGTTCTTGAGCTACATGAAGTTTGGAGGTCTGTAGTGATTGACTCTGCAGAAAGTTGGCGACCTCTTCGCACTATGCGCGTCAGCATCCGCTGACCCCGCTCCGTCAGTTTACGTGGCCTACCACTTCGTGGCTGAGTTGCTGTCGTTCCCAAACACTTCCATTTTCTTATAATACAGCTGACAGTTGACTGTGGAATATTTAGGAGCGAGGAAATTTCACGACTGGATTAGTTGCACAGGTGGCATCCTATCACAGTTCCACGCTGGAATTCACTGAGCTCCTGAGAGCGACCCATTCTTTCACAAATGTTTGTAAAAACAGTCTGCATGCCTAGGTGCTTGAATTTATACACCTGTGGCCATGGAAGTGATTGGAACACCTGATTCCAATAATTTGGATGGGTGAGCAAATACTTTTGGCAATATAGTGTATTTTCCCCGGTGTCTAGGACAAGATATCAGGGTTTTGGTTTTAAGGTTGTTGATTGGACCCAAAAGCAGAAGCTGAGAGACATAGGCGAGTTCTTGGAGGGTTTAATCAGAGATCAGGCAACAAAAACAGGAATCTAAAAATCCGACATAAAAATCAAACACAAACCAGAACCATGGAGACATCAGGGGAAAACCATCAAGGAGCCAGGGTGAGGACGAGGAACCAGCAAAGAGGGACTGCAGAGGGAGTGTATTTATGGCTGACTGAACAAAGGTAGAGCTAATGAGCTGATAAGGAGCAGGTGTGACTAGAGCTGATGAGGAAGCCAAGGGAAAAGAACACAAGGAGGCAGCAGAGGGCAGACAAAGAAAAACCTAAGCAACTTAAATGAATCCAGACACACCAAAAAAGCTAGGAAACAATGAAAAACCTGGCTAAACTTGAAACAGAAAACTTAAAGAAAAACAACAGAACCAAGATCATTACACAAGATGACATTGCATGTGATGTGTGCAAATAAACACCAATACTTGAAGTTGTGATCCCTGTATGTTTACAGAACGTTGACAAAAGTATGAGCTCAAACTGACATAGCCTAGCTTGTGCACAGAGAAAGCAAAAGCCAGGCATGTTTTTTTATTTATACCATCAGTGTGTAGTTGGCACGTTGAGTGCTTATTAATATGAAGGCTTGTGTTAGCTGTCTAATACAAAACTTAAATTTTTGCTGATTTGGTGAAAGGTTTTCTTATTTGTGTTTAGAGTTTTGTAAACAGCCAATAGATACAAAAATTGTGCATAAGCCATGAGAGAAAAACTGTTAACTAAACAAAAAAGTAACCTGTAAAGTTTTATAGACTGGAGCTTATTTAGAAAAAATTAAATAGCTTAACCTTTAGGAAAAATATTTAACATTTTTTACATTTAAGGAAAAGTCCAGTTAGCAAGGAATAATCAATGGATCACTATTTATACCTAAAACTAATACGTTTACAGAGAATTAATAAATTTAGTGTTAGTCAGCAAAAAAATAAAACAATTTTTGTTGCGATCACTGAGTCCAGGAGCGGCCATTTTTGCCCAAATATAGTAACCCCTCCCTCCTGCCATCTTCCAGCAGTGACGTCACGGTGTGGTAAGCCCATCCCCGCCAGAGCCGCCCAGACCCCCACACACAGGCGGTGCGCCGCCAGCAGGACCCCACCCAATGGGCCCCCCGAGAAAACAGGCATGCCAATCCCCCCAAAGAAAAACCGCCAAGCAAAAAGGACCCCACAATGCAACAGTGAACACCAGACACCGATCCGCCCACAACCGCTCCCCCCCACCGAAAAAAGAATTCCCCTATGCAAGAGGAAAAATGCAAATGGAAAAACCAGAACCCAAAACAAAACCCAAGACCTCCACCTCACCACGCCGCGCAGCTCTCCTCCTGCCTGAACCGATACTACAAAACCGGCATTGAAAAAAGGCATCGCCCAGGAACCGACATCGAAGCGAAGGCACCGGCACCGAAAATCCCCGAACAACACCCAGCCCCACACCGAAGTGAATCCAGTCCCGGGCCCCAGGGATCCGAGGCCCCAGGGGCGCCCGACCCCCAGACAGGAGCCCCAGCAAGGCCCCGGCCGGCCGGGGCCAGCAGAGAGGCCGCCAGGAATTAGCCAGTAGCCACCTGGGCATCCACCCCCAGTCCCGAGCTCCACCAGTGCACCGGCGAGCCCCGACGCCAGCCAGCGGAGGGAGAGCAGGATGGGGGGAATGGGCTCCGCACTTAGCGGAGACTTGATATGTATTTGGGTGAGGGGGGAGTTGAGACCCCAACCTGGGAGAGCAAGAAAAGAAACACAAAAACACACTCACAATCTCAATCACGCTTTCCCTCCCCAGTGCCCCCACTCGCACCACAGAAAAAAAAAAAAAAACACATTCACACATAACACTCACATCCAATAATACCAGGACCAAAGACCCGGCGGCACCGGTGGTTGGTTCCGGGATTATTGGATGACCCAATAAGTGAACCTTAAATCCGGATGGGGGGGAGGGGAGCGGCAACACCGCCACATCAACCCATCTCATTCCTGCTTCGAGCCCGGCCCCCCACCCCGCACACGGACCGGACCACTTCCAGCAAGAGCTCTCCCCGGGACCGGGGCCCACCCATCCCACGCAGACCACCCAACCAGAACCGCCCCCCCAAAGAAACTACTACTACTACTACTACAACAACCAGGCACTTCATGCCCCTCCTTCCAACCTTCTTTGGGGAGAGCAAAGCCACCAGCAGGCCACCTAGGCCCCGCAGCCGGCCCCAGCAAAAACCACGGATCAGGTGGCTCACTCTTCCTCCAGGCCCCAGACTCGGGGTGGCAGCAGGAGAACAGGCGTGTGAGAAGACCCCGATCCTCCCTGCGCCTGCTCAAATGTGGTGTTGTTGCGTGTTGCTCTTAGATGTAATTAAAACAGGGAGTACCAAGAGTGGCGGGGCCGGCACAGTCCAGCCCCCCTCCGGGAGATAGGCGGTGCCAGCGCACCCCCGCATTCGACAACCATGAACCCTCAATATCTAGATGCGAGAGGGGATGGAGGAAGCTGACCGTAGTGAGGCCCATAAAATAAGCCCCCCCCGGCTGGCCTTGACCCCCACCTCCCAGAAAATACCCTGCATAGATGTGTGATGCTGGAGATCTGCCTGTTTTCCGGTGTGGTCCTGTTTCTCTGACCGTGACTGGCTGGATGTGCTCTCTTCGTCCTGTGGCATGGGAGCTGCCTTGGAGCTCGTCTGCCTGGCTGTGTGTTTCCTGGACGTGTCCGCCTTTTACAGCTGCTTTTTGTATCTCTGCTTCTGTCTCCTTGAACCCCAGTCGGCCTCGGCAGATGGCCGCTCACACTGAGCCTGGTTCTGCTGGAGGTTTCTTCCTGTTAAAAGGGAGTTTTTCCTCTCCACTGTCACTACAAGCATGCTTAATGTGAGGGATTGTATTTGAGTCAATGAGTCGATGCAATCAACTGGTTTTCCTTAGATAGAAAACTTTGTATCAATTTGATTGTATGATCTGGTTGAACTGTAAAGTGCCTTGAGATGACATGTGTTGTGAATTTGGTGCTATATAAATAAACTGAATTGAATTGAATTGTTGTGAAAATGTTATATCCAGGCCGAGATCATTCCTACTCCCCTTCCCTCCCCTTCCCCCACTAGCAGAGTGCAAACCCCTGAACGGGAAAGCATCTGCCATAGGTGTTAATGTCCATGCCCCCCCAGCCCAACAGGCCCCGAGGCACCCCCACACACCAGAGGCCGCGGCAGGGGCAGACAGCCGGGCGTACACTGGCCCAGACCCCAAGCAGTACTCCCCACAGAACCCGAACCCCCAGAACACACAAAAAAAATCCCCCTCAGTGAAGAAGAACAGCCGAAAACAAGCCAGCGTCCAACACCCACCGCCACACCACGAGGACCCCTCCACCCAGCCGTGAGGGGGAGAGCGGGCATCCCTGTCTGGTGCCCCTCTGAAGACAAAAGCTGGAAGATGTTTGATTATTTGTCCTGACACAGGCTGTTGGGAAACTGTATAATATTTTTAACCAATTTATAAAGGAATTGCCAAAACCAAATTTATGTAGAGTAGCAAATAAAAATCTCCAGTTTACTCTAACATTAATTAAGGATATGGGCAGATTGCTGGTCGGAAACCTAGGATTTTTTCCCGGCTTAAGCAGGAGACTAATGGTGGCAGAATTAATTTTAACTAGAAATTTGCCATTATCTTGAGTTTCCTGCAGCATTCTGTGGAACGTTGGGGCCAGAATGTCCCAGAACTCTTTATAGAACTCAGTAGGGAACCCGTCTATACCTGGCGCTTTATTGTGCAGCGTGATTTTACACATTTTCAAAATCACGCTGAATCGAGATACAGACAAACAGCTCTCCACACACACATGCAAATAATTTTGCTACAATATTGCTCCCATATGAATTCAGCCCGACTTGAAATAAATGTTTGATTTTAACACCTTGTTTTTTTTTTCTTTGGTATGTCTATGTTTTTTTTTTTTACATAAGCTTTAAGTCAAAACGGGGCAGTTTTTTCAGTGGTTCCACAGCATTAGTTTAATGGGAAGGGATGTATGAACATTAGATCTCTGTGTTTGAGACAGCAGAGGGAGGGAGGAGGGAGGCTGAAGCTCAGGCTACTTCCTCTGAAGGGAAACGAGAATGCAGGAGTTTATAAACTCCATTGCACGTGAAAGTCTAATTCACAATCGACTGTTGTGTTTTCAGTGCCACAGTCAAGAGAGATTTGACCTACATATGCAGGGAGTTTGGATTTATTGGAGGAAAGGTGAAAGATTTCAAAGACATTAACTTTAAAGTCTGCTTTCTGCCGTGAAATTATACAACATTTTTTTATTTTATTAAAAGAAAGACTTAAATAGAACGTATCTGAAAGCTTGATGCAATTTTGAAAACTGGAAAATCTAGATCTTGGGGACCAATGTATAGCAGCAGCTATTCCCAGGTCAAAAAGCTCAGTCCAGCTCAGAAGAAGATGCAGTACCACTCGAAGGGCAAGAGCTGTGGCTACTACATGCGCATCATCTTCTTCTTCTCCTCTCTTATTCAGTCTCTTATCATAGTAAGCCTTGTGCTCTTTCTGATCTACGGGAAGACCGAGGACTCGGCCTCTTCGTCGCGTGTCCAGGACCTGGAGAAGAGCTTCAGCGAACTCTCCATAGAAAACGTTGAACTGAAGAAGCAGAGGAAAAACCTGACCAACATCCTCAACAACACCATCACTGAAAAGGCTAAGAATGACTGGGACCTCAATTACCTGCGAGAGATAACCAACAAGTCCATCAGTTGGTTCCAGTTCAATGAGTTGCAGATGGTAAGAAAAATCTTACATCTTCAATATCTAAAAAGGAAAAGCTTTTAATCTATAAACTCTTAAAGTACATCAGTATACCGTGGAATGTTTAATAAAACATCCATAAAGAATTTTGATAATGTCATAAAATGCAATGAATGGAGGGATAGTTTTGAATCAGTGCATTGATTGCTTTAATTCATGGGTTTATTTTATTTTTACATTCTCTAGATGGGATGTATTAGGCCCCATTCCAGGGCACTGGAGCTTTGAAACAATAATAAGCTTGTAGCTGACTAACTCTGATATTAAATTAACAATTAAATTCAGTTTATTTCTATAGCGCCAATTCACAACACATGTCATCTCAAAGCACTTTCCAGTTGACCAGATCATACAGTCAAAGTGATTCAAAGTTTTCTATCCAAGGAAAACCAGCTGATTGCATCGACTTATTGACTCTTCAGCAATCCCTCACCCTAAGCATGCTTTTAGCGACAGTGGAGAGGAAAAACTCCCTTTAAACAGGAAGAAACCCCCAGCAGAACCAGGCTCGGTGTGAGCGGCCATCTGCTGAGGCCGACTGGGGTTCAAAGAGACAGAAGCAGACATAGAAAAAGAAGCATAGATACAAAAAGCAAATGTATAAGGCGGCCCCGTCCAGGAAACACACAGCCAGATAAAGGAGCTCCGAGCCAGCTCCCATGTCAGAGGATGAAGAGAGCAGATTTAGCCAGAGAAAGAGGATTACACTTTAAAACACACGCCTATCCACGCACCTATGTCCAGATCTTCATCAGATACGACACGGCTATCTACTTTATTCTAATATTCCAAAAATTTGCCAAAAAGCCCTCAGATGGCCAAAACGTAATTTATGACCATGTTTGTGTTTTTTGGGTCTGGTTTCAACAAAATATGGAAGAGCAGCGCCGATTGATGCCTTGCTAATGAAAGCCAACAACACACTGAATCGGCCGAAGTTAAACTCATTAGCAGAACTCTGATCATTTGCAGCTGACTACTCATTTAGGGTCAGATCATGGATAAGATATAAGGCAAAAGAAAAGTTTAGTGTTTTTCTTAAACACTATTAACACTCTCTCTTAGAATCTTGTTTTTGAATTTACTGAGGGTCTGGTTTCATATGATTCAGCCATTATCTTCCCAAGTGATCTGGAGCACTTTCAATATGGGAAGCTAGTTTGCTGCTTTTCTTAATATGCGGTTGTTTCTTTCTACATACAGCTTTTGCATGTTTTGTGTCTTAGAATATTGCATGTGTTTGCAGCATGTTTGCATTTTGCTGCTTTCTATTTTCTGACTGCAGCATTTTTTTGAAGAGTTTTTCCTTTGTACGTTTTTTTGTGTTTTTTTTCGCTCACATTTTGTTTCCGAGTTTTATTATTGTGTTTGCAGAAGCATTCTTTTTTGAATGTGTAGCACATTAACGTGTTTGCACTGCGTCTGCACGCCTCTCTAAAAAATGAGCAATTTCGCTCCATTATTGTTGTAAAAAAAGAGTATTTTTTTGTAAATGTAAATTTTAAAAAAACAGTATAAAATGAAACAAAAAATGAAGTCTAAAAATGAAACTATACTAAAATATTTCATATTAGAAAAAGGTCTTTAGAGTAAATCTGCTCATTTCTGAAATTATATTTTTTTTCATATTTATTTTTTCAAATGCATTTGTAAACACATTTTATCTAGCGGATTTTTTTTCAAATTAAAATTTTTTCTACTTTTTTTATTGTAGTCATTGTTTTCAGATTTAATTAAAAAGAAATGTAATATGTCTGTTCTTCAGTTCGAGAAAATTAAATGCATTCTTTTCAAATTGCGTTTTCTAGATCACATTCTCTTCATTTCTGGGTCGGGCGTTCCTCTAGAGCAGGGGTCACCAACTTTTTTAAGGCTGAGGGCTACTTTATGGGTACTGACTGAGTCATAGGACGGGCTATCAATACTGACCTATGAACTAGAGGAGTCGGCGTTCACCTGAACTTCATAGATAATAAACATATTTCTATTGTTTCTTTTCATTTTTAATTTGCTTTTACATATTCTCATTATGAAATCCATATAAATTCTGAAATGTTCTAATTTATTGATATGATAAAATGCTTCACAAATGCTTCAAAATAAGAGCTTCAGTAAAAAATAACATTTCAGATTCAGTCCACTGGTGAATTGTTCTGTTTTCAAAAGATGCTGAGGGCACCCCATGTTGTCCTTGAGGGCCCCTTGGTGCCCACGGGCCCCACGTTGGTGACCCTTGTTCTGGAGTGAGGAGGGAAGGTGTGATTCTATTGGTCTTTATGGACGTTACAAACAACCTCTTACTGAGCAATAAGTTTGTCCAAAGTGCTTTACATTAATTACATAATAAAATAAGATAAAAAAATGAAAGCAGAATAAAAGAAAATAAAGTTAAAAACATTTGAAAAAAAAAAACAATTTGACCAAAACCTTAAACTAAAAAACCTCAGTCAACAGTTTAACTCAACAAAAGCAGCTCTAACAAAAGGATTTTTAACTTTAACATCGAGAACTTTCAGCACTTTTAAAGAATGCGCTTCATCGAACTTTATCTTAAAACAGAAACAAAACAAATAAAAATTCAAATGTGTTTGTTGCTTGCAACGATAATGGAAGTTAATTCACTCCAAAGAGCTGATTACTTTAAGCATTTCTCGACAAAATGAGTCAAAGCAATATAAATGAACTTAAAGAAGAAAAAAATTGTAAAGTCATGTTTTTAAAATTTCCTTTTTTTGTTTGAGTTGTACTCAATGTTGAGTTTAGGGAGACTACACTTTTTATACAGCTGAATATGTTTGAAATTAAGTTTTTTTATTTGTCAATTTTGCAGAACAGCAGTTTAAAAGTTGTGATCCATAATATGTCCAATGATTGCTTTAAAGATCAAGAGCGTGGGTTTGCTTCAGTCCATAAAAAAGCCTTTCAGCTCTACAGTGTCATCAGCTGAAGTTCATGTAACCTCCCTCCAACGCTGGCAAAATGGCTCCTGTTTCATGGAGACACTGATTACTATTTATTCCCTGGATTTCTGATTGCCCGTTGGTAGTACGGGGTTGAAGTGAAGCCACCGGCCGCCATATTGGTACTCCATGGGTTGCAATGTAAACAATCTGTGCTACAGGATCAAACAACGATGATGTTCTCATTTTCAGGCGGACTTAAGACTTAAAATAAAGATAAATTCATCACTTTGACACAGACTTGCTGTTTGATAGCATCAGTAGATTGCTTTAATTTATAATTTAAAAAAAATAGGCACGTCGCATTGCATAGTCATTATGAAGTCAATGAAGTTTATCAATCATTCAATATAACATATTATACAAAACATCACAACAAAATTAATGTGTTAATGGAGCCTAATAATACAGATGTGGTAAATTGATGATGTACATTGTTATGGTAATTAAATACAATGTCAAGATTTTACACCAAGACTGAATTACAAGTACAGGTCAGTTAATGCTATAGTGTTTTTCTATTTGATTTGCAAAAATTGGTGCATGCATGATATCTATAGATATATATATCTATATATATCTATAGATATATTTATATATATGTATATATGATATAAATATATATGTATATACATATATATTTATATATATGTATATACATATATATTTATATATATATATCATGCATGATATATATATATATATATATATATATATATATATATATATATATATATATATATATATATATATATATATATATTATATATATGTCTAGGGTCAAATGTTTGAGTTGTTTTTTTCCCCTCAAAATAACATGTAACACATTTCAGCACAACTTTTTCAAATGAGAAATACCAGAAACACTACAACACAATACTACAAGAAACATTTACTCTACTTTCTATTTTCTAACGTTAGACACAATGTCAATGATTAACTCAGTCAATGTCTTCCAGTCAGTCTTAGATAGCCAGGATAATGTTATGCTACATACTTAAACTATAGGATACATTGGTATATATGTGGATTTTCTTGGTTAGTTCATCCACTGGCTGTAAAATTACCCGAGGAACTTCTTCTCTCAGCTGGCGAACTGTTTGTTTTTGCAGCCAAATGCTACACATGTAGGCGTTTTTACTGCGCTTCTCCGTGGGTGTGGGGAGTACCAGCATGGCGGACGGTGGCTTTGCTTTTTTTGGGGGCAATCATCAATCCAGTGAAAAAATAGAGCTCAGTGCATGGAGGCGTGTTCTTGTTTCTTTTGGTATTTTGCTTTGATTCCATGTATAATGGATTGATATCATAAAACAAACCCAGAATGCATTGCATTTTTTTTGCTACAAACAGTAATTGGTAGTACTCAGAGGCTGATTACAGAAACCTGAAACTAAACTGTGAAGCACGATGAGGCTGCATCTCAGCCCAATCACGAACTGGAGAATCGTCCCGAAAAGGGCAAAAAGTTGTACAGTGTATGCCCTGCTCAAATCGCTCTGTTTATTTCAGTGGCGTTTACCAGGAAGGAGGCTAAATTGTTCTTTACTCTTTTAAACAGCATCAGCTCCAGAATGAGTTGAACTTGTGCAAAGTGAGATGTTTCAACCCCCAATCCCGTTCAAGTAAGTATATGATTTATTCACTCAAAACACTCAGAAAAACCCTAAGACATGATTATCATTTCCCATATTATCTGTGTGATGTATCTAATCGGAACGTTTCTATAACAGTTACCTTTAGTTACTGTTATTTTTTATGTCTTCAAGTCCCACAGCCAACTGGAAACATCTGTGGGCCGTTGGTTCAGCAAATGAAAGCTGGACTTGAATTATTGGAATCCAACTTAACTCAAACAAAGCGGATAATGACAATGGAAAAAGAACAGATTGCAAAAGAAAGGGACAACCTTAACCTGGAAACCATCCATCTCAGGAGGGACAAATCTACTCTGGAAAAGGAGCTAGAGCTCTCCAAGCAGAGTACAAAGGACCAGTTCTCCCAGTTGTTGGCTTCTGTCTCCGGTGTCTCTAAGGCTTTACTGGAGAAAATTGATTCTCTCTTCCCTGAGCACCTCCGATTCCAGATCACTTGTTTAAAACAGAAGGAACACCTGGAGCAGATCCAGTCCAACTGCACCAACCTTTCCCGGGAAGTAGAGAACAAGCTCCAATACTACCTGAACATTGTAGGAGACAAGGTGTCGAACATGCAGAACGAGAACAACCACTTAAAGGCAGAGAACTGGCGTCTGTCTGAGGACTATCGCTGGTGTAGCCAAAATCGTACGAACATGATGAACGAGCACAAACGTAGCGGAGAAGAAGTTCAGCTGAAACACGATCAGGAGAAGGAGAGACTCCTGATGGACAAGATGAAGCTGAATGGGGAGATAGAGATCCTGAAGAACAGCGTGAAGTACAAAAATGCAGAGATGGATATTCTAAGAGAACAATATAATCATCTCAACATGTCATGCACGGCAAGGGTAAGTATCAAAACCTTCATGCATTTTATCATTACTGAAAAGGTTTGGAATGTTTTAGATTATCTTTAACTTTATCCAAAATTCAGCAAATTTAATTTAACCACAAAATGTATGTTTATCCTTTTACCTTCGTGTGTTTACACCAGCTATGAGTTTGATATGGCACAAATTATGTTGATAATCTTCGCTAAATATTTAGCATTTAACTTTGTCTTCTTTTCTATTTCAGAATGGACTAGGTGGATATTCAGGAGGGGCCCTGGGGTCACGGCAAAACACACCGTTTGGTGGTGGCTCGTTTGGTGGTGGTTCCAGTCATTCATCCTCCAGTTCTTACAGTTTAGGTCAAAGTAGGACAGGAACAACTGGGTCAGGTCCAAGTTCAAGCTCTGGATTGGGATACAGTGGGGCGGCTTCTGCTGGGGCAGGCTCATCAAGCTCAACCTTCCAGCAATCTGGGTCAAGGTCAGGCCTGACTAGTGTTGGCTCTGGAGTTAATAAACCTGCATCAACAGGGGGTGCTTTTCCGAACCAGCCATCATTTGGCACAAGTCTTGGGTCAAGTGGGACAGGATTAAACAAACCAGACAGTGGAAGAAGCTCAACAGGCTTTGGGTCACCATTTGGGTCTAGTTTAAACCAAGGGTCAAGTGGGACAGGATTAAACAAACCAGATAGTGGAAGAAGCTCAACAGGCTTTGGGTCACCATTTGGGTCTAGTTTAAACCAAGGGTCAAGTGGGACAGGATTAAACAAACCAGACAGTGGAAGAAGCTCAACAGGCTTTGGGTCACCATTTGGGTCTAGTTTAAACCAAGGGTCAAGTGGGACAGGATTAAATAAACCAGACAGTGGAAAATCCTCAACAGGCATTGGGTCACCATTTGGGTCAAGTCCTAATAAACCAAGCTATGGGGTGGGATCATCATCTACATCAAGTGGGACTGGTGCGTCAAGTGGCTCCAGTAGCTCAGCAAGTAAACCCTCATCATCACTTTCCTCTCTTTTTGGTCTTGGGAGCAGTAGCTCAGAGCAAAGTAGGACAGGAAGTGTGCCGGGGAGGACTTCTTCTGGAGTTGGGAATAGTGGAACTGGTTCTGCATTCGGTGGGGGAAAGACAAACGGACAAGCTAGTAGCCCAGGTGAGGCAATCCCTAAATAATTTAAATATATAAATTAAACTTTATTGATCTCCCATTGGAGGACTTAACTCATCATTTGAGTTACTAATCCTATGAGTGAGTGGCTCCTTTGAGTGCCACTGTGCAGCGCCGGGGAGGAATCGGGGGTCAAGGGTCTTGCTCAGAGACTAAAAGTGGCAGGCTGTGGGAGTGGGTTTCAAACTCACAAGCTCAGGATCCAAGCGCTATGCCCTAAGCAGTAGGCTGCCACTCCCCACAATAAGATAGTTACAAATGTGTAGTGTTAGATGTCGTAATTTAATCCTCAAACAAAGCTTTATGTCTTGAACGGGGTACTCAGGATTTTATCAGACCTAAACGCACACTTGCAGCAAACCTTGTTATTTTCAAACATTTTTAATTGTTGTAGCTCCTACCAATTGAACCTAACTCATTTTCCTTCACCTTTTGATTGGTTGACAGCAAGAACACTATGCAAGGTAGGAAAGGAGGTCCAAACAGCAGCACTGAATCATGACAGCTCTCAGCCTTACGGACGTCATTACACGGCGGCTGACATTCTCAAAACATATGAGGGCATGTGTCACATATAGTTCATATTACCAAATAATATTGGATTTTTGTTAAACTTTGTGAGGTGGGCTGTGCCTATACATTCTGTCATGCAAAGAATTATGACGAACATCAGGAGGTCCCTGGAAACAGGAAGCATACTGTTTCCGGGTCCTAGCTTCTTCCTAGGGCCTCCCGCATGGCAGGCGAGAATTCTACCACTGAACCACCAACTGAACCACCAACTACCTGGCTGGCTCGCCAATTTATGGAAGCTCATTGGTAGAATTCCCTTATGACAGAAAGAAGGCCACGATTCACACCATTTTATCATCCTGAGGGGGGGAAAACATTTAATTACAAAACCGAATTCATACAGCTGTCTTAAACAGTTCATACATCCAGCAATGCATTGTCACAATTCAGTTATCCCCCGAAACACTCATGTCTTCTCAGTTGTTTTATAGTCTCAACATCGCATTACGTAACTGCACATGCACAGGAATATCATGTCGAAAGCTTACTGGAATTCACATGTGCTGGTCGACGCCAGCGGTTGATTTGACACTCGGAGGAATGTTTATACAGATGTTCTTTGTTTATGCCAAACCTCCTCATACATCATCTAATTGCGTACGAATAAGGCATTAGGGACTTTATTGTTGCTAAGACTCATACTTGACCTTTAGCATGTACTGTTTTGTTGCTAAGTAAATATAGGGCCACGTGTAAGGATATATAAGACAATAAAACTGCTTCTACATTGCTACTAATGATGATGGTGCACTTCTGCTGTGGCTTAAGTGTGATAACCGACTTGAGGTATTCTGATTAAGACGAGGTAAATCTGAATATGTATGAACCATATGGAGCAACATTGAGACTATAAAGTTTGTTCAAAAACAGTTTTTTTATATATAAAAAAAGTAATTTCAATCTGGAAAAAAGAATTAATTATGACCGTACCTTAAATCAGAAGTAGCCACTATAGTCCAACCGATTATTATGTATAAAGTGCCAATTCACAACATATGTAATCTCAAGGCACTTTAGAGAGACAGTCATATTTACGAGAACTAGTTGGAATGATTTGTTGGAAGAGACGGGTGGAATGTTATATGATTTATAACTTATAACAACCTGGGCTATTTTATATCTCATGTAACAAAGGATCACTTTCCCTTCCTTGTTTCCCCAACAGCCTATGCCCAGCACATTAAAGAGCTGCAACATCTGATCAACCCGCCACGCCCACAGTGAGTGTCCTCATTATTTACATTATTACATTTTAGAGTATATTGAACGAATTAATAAACACGTATAGTGTTTTAAAAACATTTCTTTAATAAAAATCGTATCAAGCTTTGTAAACATGGACAATGCGTGAAACTAGTCCGGCTAATCTCCATGCATAGCTGGTCTCTGGAACCCAACTCTTTGAGAGGGGTTGGACTCTCTTCTACTCTAGAGAGGCCCATGGGGAGAGGTAGACAGTTGGGATGGGGTTGCATCCCTTGAGCTCAGCTGTCTGGTGTTAGAGTTCAGTCTGGTGGATGAGAGATTTGGATTGTTGTGCCTTCGGTTAGTTGGGAGTTCTCTGCATGTTGTCTTGGCCTATAGGTTGAATGTTGGATATCTCCCCCGCTTAGGACTTCCATCATTATTCCAGGTTATTTTATTGTCCATGTGGGAACAAACACTGACACCTGGAGGGGTTGTGATCGGGAGGAACAGACTTTCAGCTCTGAACCCACATGGTGTTCCTTTATTTGGCTTTGTAATAAACACCATATTTAAGCACAAAGGTCAGTTTTTAAATAGTCTTTCCAGAAAAAGAAAATTAAAAACAATCCACTGGACTTTGTTTCCAATTGTGAAGACGTTTCTCTTCCCATCCAGGAAGCTTTTTCAACTCAGAATGTCAGGACTGGCGTTGATTTCAAGGTTTTATACAGTAGACAATCAAAACCTTGTTTTTGTTTTGAAAACATGCAAATAGAAATGGACGAATGGGTCCATCCTTTTGGGATGGAGGTCGGTTGGCCTCTTTTGTTAGCCTGCAATGCTCAATACCTGTCTAAGTGTCTGAAAGGGGGGGTTGTTAAAGGGAATTGTTGGCCTGGCTGAATCAGCTAAGTCCTCCGCTCTCCTGTACAAGGGAGAAACAAGGTTTTGATGGACCACTGTATAAAACCTCGAACTCAACACTATTCCTGACATTTTGAATCAAAAAAGCTTCCCGGAGGGGAAGCGAAACGTCTTCAAACTTGGAAACAAAGGCCAGTGGATTGTTTTTAATTTTCTTTTTTTGGAATGACTATGACCTGGGTTACTGAGAATCTTCACCAGCAAATTTTATAGTCCTATCTTTCAACCTTACACTCTCAAATGAAGAGAGAGGCAGAGCTGTCCACCAATCACCACCTGAAGGTGAGTTGGATACACTGGAAGAGGGGGAGAGTGGACAGAATCTGCAGGTTGTGAGGGACTGCCGAAAACCTCTGGCAGACCCCTCAATCAGGGACAGATTAAACTTCTACCTCTGTAAAAGCTTTTCTCAAATTCTGCATGAGGCCGGAGACCTAGAGTCTGAGTGGACTATGTTCGCTGCCTTCATTGTCAACAGCCACCCATAGCTGAGGTCAACACGCCTCTTCAACTTGCGTGGCAATCGTGGACAGAACCCCTGGGCTGGTAGACTTGGGTTCCCATCCATAAGAATGGGGACTGGAGGGTGTGTTCCCACTATAAGGGAATCACACTTCTCAGCCTCCCCATAAAAGCCAATGGCAGGGTGCTGGAGAGGAGGTGACAGTTAAACCTCAGCTTTAGGAAGAGCAGCTTTACACCCTCTGCTCAAGGGTTAATGGGAGGTTGTCCAATCAGTCCACATGGATTTTATGGACCAGGAAAAGGCATTTGACTATTTTCCTCATGGTGTCCTGTTCTGCGCTACAGAAGTTCAGAGTTGGGGATCCTTTTTAAGGCGCCATCTTATTACTGTACAAGCAGAGCAGGAGTTTGTTGGCATTAAGTCGAACCTGTTCATGGTGCATATTGGACTCCAACAGGGTCTTTGTCACTGGTCCTGTTCATAAACTTTAGGGACAGGATTTCTAGGCGCAGCCAAGGAGTCTGGTTTGGAGACCAGCGGATTCTCTCCCTGCTATTTGTGGGTCAATGGGTCCTGCTTGCTCCTTTGTTCCAAGATCTAAAGCATGCACTGTGGCAGTCCCCAGCCAAGTGTAAGACCGGTCATACACTGTACGATATTTTCAATTGTTGTACCCAGCTACAGCTTAAACATACGGAAAAACTGCAGGGTTTAAAAGTTCACAGCTTACGATGTATGATCTTACATTGTACAGCCCGAAACTCTGATGCGATCTAACTGCTCACACTGCACGTCGAGAAACACACGCCAACCTCAGTGCAATGAGACGCCACCGGTCGGACTCTTCCATCTAGAAGATGAACTCACTTGTTTGCACATGCACAGACGCAAAGGTTCTGGTAAATCGGCTCGTAGCTTTGCTTCAAGAGCAGGATTTGCCAACGAACAACTTACGAGGGCCGACTGAATTTAAAGCATGTCCGATTTCCTGATCAGAAGGAGGTTATAAGAGACTGATGGCCCCTTATTACCCCATGTATACTACAAGACAGGATTTACAATCAGGTTGAAACTCACCCTGGTCAAAAAACTTCTTGCACGACTGGAGAATCAGCTCAAAAGAAACAAAAAACTCGTACAGTGTATGCCAGGCTTAAAGCGGGCAGGAGGAGAATAAGCCCCTTCATGTAGGCCATGGTTTTTGTGTTTAGAAGTCTTAATATTTTAGCAGGTTTACTATTTGCAGAACATTTGCACTCATTTGCCACCATTGTGATGCATTTTGCATTTGCATACCATACCACTGAGTAATCATTTGTATTTTCTTTCTTTGTTTTTTTCTTTCAGAGAGAAGCAAGATCTAGCCAGAATTCTTGGTTAATCAAACTGGAAATACATACAGAAATAAAGCTTTTGATGTCAAGGGTAAATGTAACACATTTGTAACAGAGGTTAATAAAGTTTCTTATACTCCGCTCATGTATAGCGGCTAGCAAAATAGCTAATTTTTTTTTTTCTCCACATTTTGTCATGTAACAATCCCAGCCCTCCATGCCTTTATGTTGTATAGGGGTTTTGTGATAAAGTGACAAAAATAAGAGCTTATTTTTAAAAGAAAGGAAAATGACATGATTTTTAAAATGTTTTTTTTCCAAATACTGCATTCAACCCCTCCAAATCTATACTCTGCATATCCAATTTACACTGCAGTTCCAGCCACTGGAAAAACAATCTAGAAATAAGTAAAAATTTCCTAAATTAAGAGTATATACCCCTAATTTGAGTAGGTAAATTAGATAGTTTGCCAATGGAATGAGTATCTTTATTCTTAAAATAAGCTAATTAGATAATATGCACATGAAATAAGACAATGCAATTGTGTTTTCTTATTTTAAGTGTAAATTGTCTCGTTCCTTTGGCAAAATGACTCTTTTACCTCCTTAATCCAAGAACAAATGTACTTATATTAAGAAAAAATAACTTATCTAGATTTCAATTTTTTCCAGTCTTTTTGGGTGATATCACCACCAGTTTTGCCCATTTAGGCTATGAAATATTTGTACTTTATAATTGTTTTGGGATTTTTCTTGCAATAAAAGCATAAACACTAAAATCATGTTTTAGAACATGGCTGTCATGGATATATATATATTTTTTTGGCTAATGTTCAACAGCATAACATAGAACACAGAAATAATCAACATGATATTTAGCTTTTGTACTGATGATTCCTGTAAACAAATACATTATATATCTGGCAGTATGTTATGGAAGTTGAATCTGTACCCGATTCTACAGTTTTTTCTTTTTTTACCCTGAGGAAAGTGTTCTTGTTTTGTTTTTCCCCTGAATGGCTTTAAAGGCATACTATGCAACATTTTTCTGTTAATTAATGTGTTCCATAACATTTTGGATGATTAAATGAGTCATTTCAGGTCGAACAAAGGTTTTCTCGGCCGCCCTGGTGGTCTGTAGGGGAAATATCGTACTTGCAATTGCAGGAACCCTCGGCCCGCACCCACAGGCTCAGAAGTCTCGCGAGAGTCGGTCTTGCTTTACGGCGAAAACTGCTACACGCCCCCAGTGAAAGGCATGCTCGTTGCTAGCGCAGTGGCGATATTTGTGCAGTTATCATGGCGGAACCAGCGAGAAAACAGAGAAAGCCCATGTCGGAGCAGGCAAGAAAGAGGAAAAGGGCTCTCTGCCGCAGTAGACATGGTGATTCGTTGCGTTCGCCTGTCTGCTAAGCTCAAAACAACCGCGCCTGGCTTGACGGAGAAACCAGGAGAACAGCTGAGCATATTTACGACAGTGCACTTTTACTTTCGCACTCTGGGGGGAGCCCCGCTGGAAAATCAACACCGGTTGCATAGTTTACCTTTAACTACAGCCATTTTCCCATCGGTTCTGACTAAGGGATTAAATATGCACCATTGTTGTTGAAAGCAAAGAGCAGGCTTTGTAAATGGAAAAAAAATGCAATCCAGGAATGAAATCTTGAAACTGAGGGTTGTTTATCGATGTTCTAGGACTCACCTCGAGGCAGTAAAAAAATAAAATAAATCACGTATTATTTCTCCCACAATCTCTAAGCCAGCATCTACTTTTTGTACCTTATTCACATTACAGTGTGTTAAAAAAAAAAAAACAATACATATGGCTATATTAGGATACAAGCTGTATTATAAACATTTAATCAGTTTTGCTTTTTGAAAGGCATCTATAAACTTGAAAGAATGTTTAAACATGAAGATTGTGTCAAACAGCATTATGTCAACATTGTCATATCGTGGAGCTTCATCAATATGCAAACACAAACTTGTAGTGTGGCTTTTTTTAAACAAATATAAGAAAATTAAAATATTTTTAGGCACAAATCTGTCTTTGCAATTTCTTTTCTTCTTATTTAAACAAAGCTATTTAAACTGCTTCCCCAGTCAGACCAGGAAATAACCATCTGTCTCTGCGTGCGTCACCTATTGTGTCACTAATTGTTTGTTAGTGACTCCGTTGCCCTTGCAGCAATGGTTTATTGGCAACAAGGTTTTAATCCTTCTATTAAGTTTATCTCTACCTGCCAACGTGTCAGCCAGCAGAGGCAGACGGATGAGGGGAACCTTTGACGATACTTTTGTGTACGTGTTCCCTCTAAAAAAAAAAAAATATTCTCTGTCTAAAGATCTGGTTCCTGTTGCCTGAACGAAAGCACTTCAAGTTTCTCACGAGGCAAGAAAAGGGAAGGTTACTGCAAAATAGTGCTGTATTGTAATTTATTTTCTTAAGATAAGTGCCTCTTCCCTTGATTAGAGAAGGGAATTAAGACATTCTGCCAATAGAAAAAGATTATTTATGTTTAAAGCATGAAAAAAAACTTTAACTGTGGAATATCTAATAATATTAATTAATTCTTATTACATTAGTAGATAATATTATTTTTCTGCTTAAATTAAGGCCAAGTACATATATTTTAAGAAATATTTACTTATTTTTAGATCAGTTTGTGCAGTGTTCTGCCATATTTTAGGTGTAAGTCATGTTTGATTATCTGTTTTTTAGTTTTATGACACACACGTTGGCACTTCGCTTACATTATTACATCTTTCACATTAAGGTTCTGTTTGTGAGCCAATACCATTTTGGACGTGGAGCTTAAAGGGGGGCAGGATGACAGACAAACATCCTGTTGGTTGCACCAAAGCACATTTGTATTGTTGCCCACTGGTGAATACAACCCTTCAATCCAGGACAGCTCTGCCCTGTCCAGAGGATATCCTTTGTTTAGCATAAACTGTTTTTCTTTTTTTTCCACATTTAGGATGTACAGCTCACTTCATGAGTAGCTATCAGGATAAAAAAGGTCTGCCGGTTGGACGCTTTGGGGAGTCATTTTAATAAAGAGTCTGAGGTTAAAGAAGCATTCGCATGATTTATCCGGCCACTGGCACGATGATATTCCCTGTTCCCATCAGCCTGTCTCAGCATTGCTGATAAGCAATTAACCGGGAAAAAGGTCTTTTTATTGAAGCCCCCTTGAGCATTCTGGTACCTTGTTTGAAGCCAAACATTGCAATATGTTCAGCTCGCTGTATATAAACATTGTAGTGGGAAAATATATTAAACTTTTCATTCCAGTTGAATAAATGGAGATCAATGGATTTCACTCAATTGGCATTTTATTACATCTTTGCAAAGAGAGAAAAAGACATCATACAGCCCATATTGCATGGTAATCAGCCCTGTTCTGATCTGGCCAGCGTCTGTCGCCCTGACTTATAATGAATGAAATGCTGTGAAGGCAAGGCAAGGCAAGGCAAGGCAAATCTATTTGTATAGCACAATTCAGTACAAAGACAATGCAAAGTGCTTTACATGATTAAAAATACAGGAAGATAAAACAGAATCAAAGAAAGTAGGAAAAAAAAATAAAATAAAACATGCAGAAACAAAAAATAATAAAAAAAAAACAGTTGGACTAAAGAAAATATGTTTTAGTTGACCTGTTTAACTAGAACAGTGGAAGGCAATCCTAAACAAATGTGTTTTTAGTCTTGATTTAAAGGAACTCAGGCTTTCCGCACTTTTACAGTTTTCTGGAAGTTTGTTCCAGATAAGTGGAGCACAGGAACTAAATGCTGCTTCTCCATGTTTAGTTCTGGTTCTAGGTATGCAGAGCAGGTGAAGGTTGTGTCAAAGTCACACACTTTGTTTAAACCTTCAGAAAGCATCTGGCTTGTTATGGGAATAGTATTTCTTTAACACAAAGACTCTTTACTCAGATATTTTGAGTCCTTACAGGTGAAACAGACTGAGTAAATACATTTTTCAGTGGATAAATTGCATAACTCAATATATGAAATAAGAGAAATTTTGCTGCCACAACATCCTGAGATATAATTTGTTTTAACCCGTAATTATCCGATCAACAGAGAGCAAAAAACGTTTGGAAAGAAATTATTGTCACTCTTGGATTATTTTGCACACCCCTAGTTTGCATTGGTGAGCAGAGAACCAGATGTAGATGTTGACAGAACCAATAGAACAGAACAAGCAGATAAGCAGCTGAGACTCACAGAGGAGCATGGAGATAAAGGTAACCTCAACTAGAAGGGTTCAGCTGGCAGAGCACATAGGATCCAGTAGTAAAGGAAACAGGCCTTAGCAGGAGAGACTGAGACGTTCTGACAGTGATTCATGGGCAGAGGCAGGTATAAATAGGCTGGGGAACAGGTGAGCTGAGTACTAATTAGAGGGAACAGGTGGAGATAATCTAGAGTGGGGTGTAGGCTGGAGGCAGACTGAGCTGTTTTGATAACTGCTGGTGGCTGAATAGTGACAGGCTGAACAGAAAAAGTCTATAAGTCCAAAACCAAAGTAAACTCAATCATAACTATGACAAACATAATGCAATTTAAAAAATATTAATAAAGAATGTGTATGTATTTACAGTGCCTTGCCCTTATTTTGTCACATTTCAGGCTTCAAACATAAAGATAAAAAAATTCATTGACGAAGATTCATGATTCCGCCCCCTTGAGGTAGTTCTTTGTAATGCCCCCCTTTTGCTGTAATTACAGCTGCAAGCTGGGTATGTCTCTATCACTTTTGATGATTGAGAGGCTGAAATCTTTACCCATAATTCCTGCAAAACAGCTGGAGCTCAGTGAGGTTGGATGGAGAGCATTTGTGAACAGCAGTTTTCAGTTCTTTCCACAGAATCTCTCAGGTCTGAACTTTGACTAGGCCATTCTAACACCTGGATATGTTTATTTGTGAACCATTAATTGTAGATTCTGCTTTATGTTTTGGATCATTGTCTCGTTGGAAGATACATCTCCATCCCAGTCTCAGTTCTTCTGCAGACTCCATCAATTTTAACCATCTTCCCCGCTGAAGAAAAGAAGGCCCAAACCATGATGCTGCCACCACCTTGTTTGATAGTGGGGATGGCGTTTGCATCGTTGCCAAAAGGTTTGATTGTGATTTTCATCTGACCAGAGCTCCTTCTTCCAAATTTGTGTCTCCCAAATGGCTTGTGAAAAAACTTAAAACAAGACTTTTTATGGATATCGTTAAGAAATGGCTTTCTCCCATTGGCCCGATACTCATTCCATTTCAATATTATCAATACACAGTGCTCTTTGGGATGTAGAATTTTTATTTATCGTTACATTTGTGAGACTCAAGTTATTGGATAATGATTAAGATTAATTATAATATTTGAACTTTATTGATCTGACGTTAGAGAAATTTACCTCTGCATTTAACCCATCCCTTTGGGGAGCAGTGGGCTGCCACTGTGCGGCGCCCAGAGAGCAATATTG